AGACGTTGCAGGGACTAGATTAGGGCCAGTATGAATTTTCTGGAGCTGATGCTAAAGTGTAAATATTTACTATAACAACGTCTCGCAACCAGACAACCATCCTGAGAAAGAAGAATTACAAGGATGTGGAAATTTTGAAATTCCTTCAGGGTAAAAAAACCTCTAAAGCTGCTCTGAAACACTTAACACTCTGAAACTCTTAAACCCTCACATGAAAGAAAGATATATTTTATCTCTGTAATAAAAGAGCATAAAACTGTAAGAAAGAGAAATAAATGCTGAAAAAGAATCCAGGATATGATGTCAGTCAAAGATTTTAAATGGGGAGTGTTTGAGTGATGAAGGATGGCTGGGTCAAAGACAGACGTGTACAAACGCCTTGTGAATGTAAACAACACGTTAGTGCTCTCATTCGAACGTTAAGCGTAATGGTCATAAATCATGCGCTGACACTCTTCCCCGACACGACACCTGCAGAATATTCAGCCACAGCTTCTGTCAGATAAGACGTCAGACAAGACGTCAGACAAGACGTCGAGAGACAACGGGACACAGGAAATAGAATTTAGGAATATTGTGTAAATAGATTAGAAAAAAAAAACTATAGTCAAGGTTGAAATGTAAAAATTATGTTCAGGTTCAGAGAAAGTGATGGAGTGAGGTCATATAGAAAACAACAGACAAGCAAACAACCTGCAGTGTTGTGACTAGAAATACGTTTGCAAAATTCATCTTAAAGTAACGTCCATCCGTCCATGCCACCAGTGAGGGATTCTAGGGCAGCTGGAGCCAATCCCACTTGACATTGGTCAGAAGGTTGGGACTCATGGCTCGTGATGATTGGTTTTTACAGGTTTATGTTTGTGGCACTCAAGAATACATTGGTTTCAATCTGAGTGGATGTTTGATATTTTCTATTTTAGAAAAACTGAAAGAGACTCCATAATTGCTGCTTTCTTCACTGTGCAATGTTCTTCATTTTCAAGGTTCCGTCTGTTTAACTTCACCAACAGTAAGTGGGTCGAAGGCAATAAATTCAAGGCATCTGCATATTTCAAATGTAATCTCTTTTCAGACCTTTTTATGACATTGAAATTGAAAAAAATAATAAAACACTTCAGGTAGTGGGTGAAAGAATGTTAAATCTGGTCAGATTGGGGGGATAATTTTTAAAACATCTTTTTCAACTTGCAAAGTTTTTATTTCGTCGTTATATTTATTGCAAAAATAAATGTATATATGTCTATTTTCCTTGATGCTAACCTTTGTTTTTTAACTTACCAATTCTCCTGAGTTCATATTGTCTCTAGACTCAAATGTATTGTGAATAGTGTGTGGGAGAATCACAACATTTTGGGGTATATAACTTAATAAACAGGGTGTTAGTGGTTCACAATATGCAGATCAAATTCTCTCTCCTCTTTATTTCTTTATGGAAAGTCTGCAGAGCAGAGCCATTTGTATAGTCAGAGAACTGCTCCCAAGATTGTCCTTGGAGGACCCACACTTACTACACACACACACACACAGTACCATCTGCAGTTGAATCCATTGTGGCCCACAGCTTTATTACCAGATTTATTTACTCTGGCTGGTTCAGGTGTGACTGTGAGACCTGCTCGCCCCCACAGGTGCGCCCCGGGGGGCTGGAGACGATTATGACTCTATCAAGAAGCCTTATTAAGTGTCGGCAGCGGCAGACAGCATTGCGGTTGCTGCAAACCTGAATCACAGACTGGAGCATGGAAGGAAATCAGACACAGCGTCCTGTTTTCAGGCCTGCTCATTATCAGGTCACATTTTCACTCCGTCCTAAACAAGCAGGCTGTGTTCACCGCGGTGCCGCCTCAGTGTGATCAGTCATTTCAGGCCACAGGAAACACAGCGGCTTCAAGATATAAACATGACTACGTTAAAGCAGAGCTGGGGGCTGGTTTACTCGGTGCTGAGCACAGAGGGAGCAGCATCGGGAAGAGGCATTAAAAGTGGAAATCGTCCTCATCTGCCACCTCCCTTTGTTACTCTCCAACATCATTCACATTTAATATTTCCCTGCTGGGGGGGTTTAGCACATTGGAACTCATTATCAGCCAGGTGTAGTCTCATCGTGTGATGACAGATGGCTTTCTTTTCATTCCAGACAGATGCCGCCCTATTTTTTTAATGACCCCTTCTCTGTTTCTCCTCCATGCCTCGTAGCTGTGAGGTTCATTAGCACAGAAAGGGCTCAACGGAGGCCTGGGGATGAGAGTGGGCTCACAGTGTTTTAGGAATGGAAGTCGAGTGCTGACGGAGCTGATCGTCATGCGGGACAGAGGAGGCTGTTGACCAGAGACAAAATCTTAACTCACAACAACTTCCACAACTGTCTCCAGAACTAAACTCTGGACTCTGGAATCAACAATACTGAAGCTTTTAAAGATGTGAAAAAGGGTGGTGCTAAATATAGAAAAATAGTTCTGTGTGATTGACAGCTAGCACCATCCAATGTGTGCAGGTCGCAGGTGTAGGTCTAAATGTAAATGTCTTTGGCAGGATAAACACTCAATCAGACAGTGGGTGTTATCAATGTCACAAAAAAATGTCAAGTATCTAATGTTGATGAGGTGCAGATGAACATAAAGCCTTTATTTTCTGAGGGAATCATTCAAAAATCAAATACAACAATTAAAGCTGTAAACATCCACAGAAATTGAACAAGAGTCACAGGCTGGACAACATATCGTAAACAAAGGGATAAAAAATTAGGAAATAAGACAAGTCACACCAAAAAACTGAATTGAAATTCTAGAAAGAAAAAAAGCAGATAAAGTAAAATAGGAGATATTTGGGGACACCGATTGTCAGATAAATGAACTCACATGCAGATGTTTTCACACAAGCTGCTTTTTCACAAGATGAGAAAAAAACTGCAGAGTCGATACGTTTGTTTAACCCTGTTAAAAAAAGGCACATTTCACAACTCTAAACAAGAGTCATCTAAAACACATTGAACATCAATATCTCATTTACACACACACACACACACACACACACACACACACACACACACACACACACACACACACACACACACACAGAATTTTATATTTGCCTCTGTATGGAATTATCTGCAAAGGATCTGCATTATTCTAATTTAACACCTCTATCAAAGAGGTTATGTTTTCTCTTCTTATGCAAAATGTCAAATAAAATAATTTCTAACAGCTTTGGATTTGCTGTGGCAATGTACAAATCAGGATTCAAATCATTGATTCACAAGGTTTGAATCAGTATATTATCCAGATTGAGCCCCATCACATCTTTAAGTACCATGATGTAACACAAAACAACATTAAAAAGGGCCAGTTCACACAAATATTTTCTCATTATACCATGAATGGCATCAAGCCACGGAGGAAGGTTTGGGAACATCCCATGCTTAAGTGTTTGAAAAATTACATTTACAATTTACAACAGCAGCCTCTCGTTCCACAGAGCGTCCTTGTTAACTGGTTACTCCTGATAATCCACAGAACACAGTGCTCATGCAGCCGGGATGACAAATGTAGTCAAGTGAAACCCGGAGGAATGAGTTGAGAAACAGTACGAAGGCAGATGCTTCCATACAGCTGCACTGCACGCACGGTACAGTTCAACAATTAACAACCCCTCATGCATCATATGTATCACAATGGCAGAGAAAAAGGTCTTAATGACTTTTGAAGAGTGTTCATTGTCGGGGCATCGACAGCAGGAGATTTATTTACAAAATAGAACAGGTTCCTCTTATTCCCACCGAAAAAAAATTCTTGAGTCGAGGCCAAAGTCTTGAGTCATGCCAAAGCTGCTGACTCACTTATTTCAATGGACGTGGGAGGGGCTACGTCAGGAAATCATCTGCCATATTGAAAAAAACATGAGCAAAGAAGTTGCATTGTGTCAGCCGCCATTTCTATCCAGCAGAAGTTACCTAAACTTCAGCTATGTAACGGTCTACATATTTTTCTTTTGAGGTTTATTTATGGTTGGCAAACAATGAATTGGTGCATTAGCGCCACCGTCGAGTGCGGATTACAAAGGGTTTGGTTCTCAGACATCTCGACATTATAGACCGTAAGTACATATGTCTGACGTGGCGGCTCCCCAAAAATGTCTCATTCACCACCAGGCTGCAGAATGTTATAAATCTATCATTTTTTTGTATTCGTATGTTAGTTTCCAGTATAAGCTCCTGTTTTCATTGTGAATCTGCTTTTGTTCCTGTTCCCTTATGTTCTTTGTGTACAGCTCATGTACAGTTTCCTACTAGTACCTCTCATCTCCTATCGCCTTTCTGTACTTCAGCATCTGTGTGTTTTCTCTTCCTCATTAAACTGTCCTCCCTGAATCATCCTGTGTTTGTATCATTTCCTACCTTTTAGAAAAGATTGAAAACAGAGCTGCTGTGGTGGCCTGAGGAGGCTCGACACTTTACCAACAACTTATGTTGGTTTTAGCTTTAATTCGTCACCTGTAGTTTCGAACTACTTTCTCTGAACGAGTAAAACAAATCAAAATGAGATGCACGGAAAGACCCACAAGTTCGATTTCATGCAGCTCCGCTGTAAATTCCGCCAAAGATAATCAATAAAATATGTTTTATGTACCGGGCCTTTAAAGAGGTGCTTTACGAATGAGGAAAACCGAAGAGACAGGACCATTGGATGGGACAAAGATGGAAATGTAACGGCAATAACCGAGTTCATTAACATAGGCAATACCCAGAGAGAGCTGCCAAGTGTCAGTGAAGTCAGCATTATTGAACACATAGCACAGTGTGGCGTCGGAGCTGTGGAGTTATTGTGGGCCCCGCAGCAGCCTTCACTTTGGGTCACTGATGGCTTCCCCACAGCCAGAGCTGAAGCGTTGTAGATCACGATTAACTTGTCAGGTGATGGGCTCTGTGATAGATACAGTACGAGCCTGTCAGAGTCATGAGGGGG